TCTATCAGATATTCATATCTCTGAAAAAACTTTAATCTTGACACCAAGAGTCCGAATTAGAAAAGGTTACAGGTATTATGCTTCCATTATTAATATAGGTAGTTATTTATCAGTATGATAAAAATTAAAAAATATTTTTTTTGTATTTATCATGTTAATATAAATTATGATTCATAATTTTCGTGTTTTATATTTATTAGATGCAAAACAAATATATATAGATATAAAAATTGTGAGATTTATTTTCTATCAATCATAGAGGAAATTAAATAAGTAGATATACTTAACTGTTCAAGTGAAAATGGAGGATGCAGCAGGTCAAAGTTATGTTTGATGCTGAATACAGTTATTAACAGTGTGTTTGGATTCATGAGAGAAGAAAGAAAGGAAAGTAAAGGAAACCAAATCTCCATTCCCTTATTTGAATAAATATTTAATTTAAAAAAAAATGTGAAAATCAAATAACTCTTGATTTTTTTTTGTAAACTTAATTTTTTTAATACTCTAATTTGGAGAAAAAATTAGGAAAAAAAAGTTGAAAAACTTTTTTTTATAAAAAGATTATTATGTCAATTTTTTTATTAATACTAAAAACCTAATAAAAAATTTAAACAGATCACAATCATTCTATAATTTTTTCAAAGTCATTTTTTTTAAGTAAGTTTCATATATATTTTTCAATATAAAATTTTTTTATAATTTTTTGATTTGATTTTGATGAATGATTAAATATAAATAAATATATTTTTTGTGTTTATGAAATGTCAGACTAGCTCAATATTCATTAATACATATTTGTAAAATATTTTCCTATTTCATTTGTTTAAAAAGCATTGATATGGTAGCAATTGTGAGGTTAGATAAGATATTAAATATATCATGATTCAAGAATGCTTTAAAATCATAAGTAATGAAAGGTTATAATTGAAAAAAATTATTATAATAAATCTTTTTTTTTCACTTTTTATTCAAATAATAATTGTTAGAATTTTTTTTTATTAATTTTAATTATCTAAATAATGATTACATGTCTCTTTTTCTTTTAAAAAAAAATTTTTTTTTTTTTGCTTTCCTTTATTAATATTTATCCAACCATTGACAATTTTGAAGCCAAAAGCAATTGAGTCCAGATATATCACATGGGACAGTTGATTTATCAAACCACCCTTTGATGAGTAGACAGCATTAACTTAACAAGGAATCAAAAACAAAAAACAAAAGGAAGATGGGAAAGGAGAGGCACTTCTGGCAACAATGTTAGGTTCAAGCACGTAAAGCCAACCATTATTTTATGACCAAATTGACATTTTTGGATAGAATCATCCATCCTTTCTGTATTTGCATTTGTTTATGACTAAGCAGAGCATTAATTAATTAAAAGATCCATCCACCTTTTCTTTTTTTCTTTCTTTTTTTTTTTTTATATCTCCTAGCATTATTTTTCAGTTAGTTATTTTTTTTTTACCAAAAAAATCCAAACTTAAAAATTAAAAAATTTTTTTTAATGTTCGAATTTAAACTTTAGCCTGTTACATATATATATTTTTTTAAAGATGATCATATGAATCAATTAAATTAAATTTTAAATTCAATTAATTATTTTTTTCATAAATATACTCAAACTACTTAAATTATACTTATTGAACATACACCATTCAAGAAAAGTTATACAATATATAGCCCCTCCCCCAGAACAAAATAAAACAGATGAAATATTCTTGGAAAATATCTGTCTGATGATATCTGGGGTGAATCGAATGTTGCTAATGATAGTCTTTTTATGTTTTCTTGTCTTGTTTTTTTAAATGTTTATTTCGTGTTTAAAGTAAGGGTTTTCTACTTTTTGTTCAATACAATAATGTACGAAAATAAACAAGTTGCTGCAATATGATAGGAGCAACTTGCTTCTTATATGAAATGTATCTTAATTCTTTAAGAAAATTTATTTCATGTACCATTAGCTTTTTGAGTATATTTAAAAAATCAATATATTATTAAAATAAATAATATATAATAATATTTTAATTTCACTTAAAAAATTTAAAATTTTGTTGATTGTATATAGAAAAATAATCTATTATTTCGATGGTAGCTTTTTAAGCTAAACATTCATTACTATTAAAAAAAAATGTTAAAATGATAGGGACGTGGGTCTTGGTCCTTTGATAGATATTGGTATTTCATCATCAATGAGTAGCACTCTATTACCACACATTTTTCTCCATGAATTGAACCAAGGGAAATTTGTCTTACTAGGGAAACCAATATTTCATGGTAGTTTCTGGAGAGTTTATTGGCTTTTTCATTTCTTTGTTGGTATAGCAAATTGGCTTGTATATTGTTTGTATCCTATTTCCTTATCTCATAGAGTAATACAAAAATGTCAATGACAAATGCCATGGTTTCAATTACATTCCTTGATGTCTTCATCCAAGATGTAATCCAGAACCCAATTATTATTTAAGGAAATATGAACTGTTCCTAGATCATCATATGGTAATATTTAATTTTAAATTGAATTTTAAATTGAATTCAATTAATTTATATAATCACATTTTAAAAGTTAACATATAATATATTTAAAATTCAAATATAAAAAATTGTGATTGTAATTAGGGATATAAATTATGTATTAATATTTATAAATTACTTGGGTTTGACTTGAATAACTTTGAATTTAACTAAGTTATTATCAAGTCAAGCTCGATTTCGAGTAATCGACTTATCGAATGAATTGAATTTGAACATTTTTATTCTTAACTCGAGTAATTAGTGAGTCTAATCAAATTTTTATATTTTAATATATTTTAATTATTTTAATCAATAAGATATCTTTGAGTACAAATAATTGAGTTTTTATTAAATATAAGAATCGAATTTATTTTTACATGTTAATCAAATTTAATCGAATAAATTAAAATAATTTAATTTTTATTTCGAATCGAATTCGAAATAAAAAAATAAAATTCGATCGAATTGGTATCGAATTTTTAGTCTTGAATTTAGAGTTGAGCACGAACTTGAATTTAATATTATATTAACTTAAATTCGATCAATTATACCATTAATTGTAACAGACTTTCTTATCTCAAAATATGATTTTTTTAAAAAAAAAAATCTAATCTTCATTTTTCGATATTAGACTTGAATAACACTGGTGATAGTTGAATTGACGGGTAAGGATAGAAAATTGAGCCCAAACTTCAGTTGTATCACTAGGAGAAGTGAGGCCAGTCCATTATGGCTTCTAGCATTCTCGCCTAGTTCGAGAGTCGAGAGTATCTTCTCAAAGCATGTTCTTTTTTTTTTAATTAGTTTTAAGTCCCTCTAATGTGTATATATATATATATATATATATATATATATATATATATATAAAATATAATTAATAAATTTTATATAAAAATAAAATTATTTAACCAATAAAATTTATAGTATAATTAATAATATATATATGATATTATAATGCAATAATCTAGAATCACTGTAATTCTCTATTAAGACAATTAATTACTCCTTTAAATTTTTACAATAGCATGAAATCTCTTAACATCAATTACTTATATATTTTAACTAGGATCACTTGTATATAAAATTAAATTGCTATAGATTTTTATATAAAAAATACCTATTGTATTTTATATTATAAAAAATAATACATTATTTGAATTGCTAAAAATCTCCAAAAAAATAATACAACATGACTAAAAGAATAGGATAATAAAATATTGCACCAATATCTACATCAAAAAATATATGTACAAAGACAATAATCTTAAAATTATTTGAATATGTAAATTAATACAATGATAAAAAAAATGGTAAAAAAATTTTCCATACAAACTAAAATCTAAAAGTTTCATTAATTTCTAAATCAACGTTCCATTTATATTTGTGATTGATAATAAATTAATTATAGATGTGTGCAAATTTATGAATTTTAAATATAAAAAGCTAACAATAAATTAAAAAGAGAATTATTTATGAGAGACAATAATAATAGATTGCAAAGAATAATGCAATCACATGAGTTACGGTCCATTTAGATAAATAGTTAAATTGGCTCTACAAGATTGAAAACAATAATAAATATAAAATTAATTATTATAATAGTGAGATTAAAATTGAATATAAAATTAATAATAATATTGAGATAAATTGTAATGAGAAAAGAAAATAATCATTACAGATATTAAATTATAATTTGTATATAATAAAAAATTAAATTATTAATATTTATAACATTAATAAATACTTAAAAAATTATGAAATTATTTTTATAGTAAATCATAATTATGTTAATAAACAATTAAAAATTAATAATAATATATCAAAAAATAATTTTATTATATTGAATTAAAATTATATAAAAATTTTAAATAAAAAATAAAAAAAGAACAAAATTAAAGTGTAGGAATATGTTTGTATTTATAATAAAAGCTAAAGGATAAATAAGAAAAAATTAATGAATTGCTTAGTGAGCCACTGTACTAAAATGACCAGTGGCAAACAGTTGTTCAATGAAATTCAAAAGCATATTTTCTATTGTGTAGTGCAATTAGATATAATCTCGTATAGCAATTGAGCATGCGATTAAATCCAAAGATACCCTTATATTAATATGAAATTAAGCACGGTTATAAATAGTTTAAAATTAAATTAAAACCCTTTGAAAAATATGGAAATAAAATTAAATTATTTAATGCAATTTAAGTCAAAATAAAAAATGAAATCAATAAAAAATTGAATTTTGTGGAAAAAATGAATAATAAAAAAAAATTTTAAAACTATGTGAATTATTGAAAAGTAAAGATAGAAAAAAATTTATTAAATTATTAGAATTTTGAAAAAATTTTAATTAATTCGTTTAAAAATTCAAAAACGTCTTAAAATTTATCCAAACATTTTATTTCTGCTTTTTAATTAAAAAAAACAAGTTAAAAAAAAAAAAGAAATTCTATGGTTCATTCTATTTCCCAAATTTCTAAAATATTGTCTTTAAAAAAAAAAAAAAAAAAGAGCGAAAAGGGTACAAGGGTTTAAGGAGTCCCTCTCCCCAATCAAAAACCCTCATCAGAGCTTCTGTTCCTTGGACAAAGGATCCTACCTGCCTCAAGTCATGCTTTCTCCTTCTTACTCCACCAAAAAGCTTCTTCCTTTCATCTTCAACAAGCTTAAAGGTTCTCTTTTTCCCTTTCTCTCTCTATCTGTTCAGTGTAATTTAAATGTTTGCATTTTCTCTGACTCTCTTTTTACTTATTTCTTCTCTCAAGTTACCCCAAATGAGCCCTTTACTCCATCATTTCAAGCTTTCTTCTCCACCCATATAGTTGGAGAAAAACCCATTCTCGTAAGTCATTGTCACTTCCTTTCCTCTTTAAATTCATGAGTTTTTTGAAAACCCCATAAGCTAATTACATTCCTTTTCGTTTGTTTTATTTTCATGTTTATTGGATTCTTTTAATGGGATTTTTTTTACTTGGTTGCTTTGCTCTGGTTTGGATTCGAAAGCTTGATCATTTTAAATTGCCTTGATTGTTTAGTAGTTTATGCAATTTTGGTTGATGGGTTGAATTTTGTTCATTCGTTTATGGTAGGTTAGGGATTTCATACATTCGGCATTGTATGATCCGAACCGTGGATACTTCTCCCAGAGGTCAGGGTCGGTTGGTGTGCTTGAAAGGAGCATAAAGTTTAACCAACTTGAAGGTATCTTTGGAAGTTTTGCGATTTTGTTGTCTGTAAGCTCTTGGAGATGAATTTGTTTGAAGTATGTTATCTGGATTATGGTAGATTTTGAATAAACAATGATGTGGATAGTTAAGTTACTAGACACCAACAAGTGTTAAAAAAAAAAAAAAGCTATGCATCAAAGAATATGATTTATTTTAAATAGCTTCTAAATTGACCACAGATACCAATAGTATCGGTTAAGAATAAGTGTAGTAGATGTGGTCCATAAAAGGTTTATTTGTTAATACCAGATGGTCGTGTATCGTAGACTATATTGCTAATGCTTGCTCCAAACTCTTGGCATGTTTTAGGAAGAAGAGCATATATGAAACACTTGGATAAGATCTATAAGCAGAGTGGCATTTCATGGTTCACCCCTGTGGAGCTTTTTAAGGTAAACCCACTAGCAGACTTCACAACTGTAACATTACTGGTGCTGGAGCAAGTTCTATTTATTTCTTCATTTTTTTAGAAAAGAAGTTTAATGTTCATAGTATTGTGGCATGGATTGTGGTGTGACATTGCTCTTGCTACTCTTCCTGTTAATGCAGCAGAATATGATATTTATGGGTTTTGTATGTCTTTTTTTACTTTGTTTTCTTATGTTGTTTCAGATTATTGAGATTAAAATACTTCAGGGGCTATGATATCTTTTTTATTGTGGCTTTTATGACTACAAAGTTCTTGAACTGATGCAATTAAGTATGGGTTAGATGTTTTGGTAAAAGATTTAGGAAACTGATGTTTTTTCTATTCCCTGGCATCGAGAAGACCTGTCCTTTGGCTATGCAATTAATCTGTATTGTCCCTCTTTCCATTATGTGACATTGTTTCTTAATTAAATTCTGGTTTTCAGTTTTTCTTTTCTTTTTTTTTTCCTTTTTGACTATAATTATGTTATAGGGAGAGTAACATAGTTTTTTTGCTTCAGGCTTGTCATGATGGTGACCATTTGGGTTGCACTTGTGAGGAACATTTACATGTGCCTTCATATTTGAATGGCAGTTTGACTTGCTAATTAAACATTGAGCATGAGTTTTTTTTGCAGCTAAGACATTGAATTCTTTCATGTATTCTTGAGTTTAAGGTGGCCATAGGAGTATGAGCCAGGAAATGAACATTGATTTATGTTTTATTTGCTTTTCTCTGCACCCTGCAATGATGGTTATTGCTGATGACTCCCTCTATCTCTATGCATATATACATATATACATGAATGCAAGTATGTCTGTGTGTGGGTGGGGTTGTTGGACACTTGAGTGTGTATAACCATTGTCTTTTGTTAATCTCTTATTCTTCTCCATGGCCATTAAACTAGTAAATTAAGCTTCATATATAGCTAAACTGCTAACTCCTTTCTCTTTAGTGAGCTCTGTTGGTGTAATTTTCTCTTATTTCTTATTTGTTGATGTTGTGAGCTTTATATTTCTTGTAGCCATGGTATGCCCAGGGAATTGCTGAAGCCATAATGCGTACAGCTAACCTTTCAGTTCCACTAAAAGTGAGTTCCCTATGTCTCATTATATTAAAAAGCAAATAAGCTGTCAGTTTTTATTCTCCTAGCTTTTATTATTATTTTTTATCTATTTGGTCTATCTAAATCTGTCTCTCTATCCCCCTCTCTCTATCTCTTTTACAGAAAAACCATTCTACAATTTTTAGGGGAAAGCATAATTCTCGATCATGGTTTATGGATTTGATAAGTTTCTCACTCCAGTTAAAAACTTACAAAAAAAAAAAAGAATGGTTCTTAGGCATTATAGTATAATATGTTACACTGTTTAATTATGTGCTGCTAGGATAGATAGAGATATTGATTGTGTTGGAAAGTAAAACTTCTAAATTCTGCTGTAAATGTTGGAATGTATGCTTTGGAACTCTTGGTTTGCTTCTTCTGTTTTCTTTTTCAATCCTTGTCAGTTAATGATTGGATACAAAACAGTGAGTTTCCCTCCTTAATAGTTTACTTTGGAAATAGGGATTGAGAAAGATAGCCAGAAAATGCCAAACTTGTGGAAACCAATTCAAGTTTCAGACCCCAATATGCATATGTAATGATGTGTTCTTCCTTTTGTGTATGTTGTAGATTATAAACCACCTGTGTTTTTTTATCACAATTATCGTCTTTAGAGTCTCAGAAGGTATACTTTCACTTAGTTCAGCTATGATTGGTTAAGAGACCCTTAGGTTCAATGGGCAAGCTAGGATTACAGTATCAGGTGAACACATGTAGTTCTGCTCTTGAAGATGAGGTCTATAAGAGCAAAAATCTATATTTGGAAAGAAAAAGTTGAGTTTTTGTCACTTTGTATCTGTTGTGGTATTGATAAATTGGTTATCTTGTAGTTGATGGATTAAGTTTGTGTTTGAAATGATATTGGATTGTTAATTATATTTGATCTATTTTACTCCGAGGATAAGCATTTCAAGTCTGATATCCTCCTTTTTAGATTTCATGACAACCCGCCTTGTCTCAGAATGAACTCTACAAAATGTTTGTCTATTTACATAAATATGCATCTTTATGCGAAGTTGTAATTCTGTAATGGTGATAGTTTGATCCACTCTCTAAATTTTTGGGATCATTGTTTGTTTATGGATGTAAACCTAATTTTTGAATTGATTAAACTTGAAAATTGATTCTACATCTTGTCATGTGTGCTCAGATATATGAAATTGGTGGTGGATCTGGAACGTGTGCAAAGGGCATAATGGATTACATAATGTTGAATGCGCCTCCAAGAGTTTACAACAGTATGACATACATGTATGCATGTTAACTATTCCTTTATTTTTAGCATGAAATAATGTGCTATCATTATATCTCTCTGCCCTATTTTATGTGTTACTTATGAAGATATTTATTTTGTAAGCACACCATAAATGCATGAAGACATCTCACTTTTCAAAAATTCCCTCCAAAGCATTTGACTTTTTTTTTTTTTTTTTTTAAAATTTGAGAGAAAGGAGAATGTTCCTGTTCAATAAATAAATAAAATTCCTAATTTTAGATCAAATAAAGGTATCTAGAGTAGGAAAGAAACTGATTTTTTTATCTTCCATTTGTATGGATTGTGGTATGCTTTTTCATAAGCTTTAATACTAAACTTTTGCTGCTAAAAATACCATTGATCCAATATTTAAAATTTCACTATTAAGTTTTGAACAATTGTTAAAAATATCTAAGAGAATTTTACTTGTTATATAGGCATATCATATTGACTTAGACTGCTGCTAATTGGTATCTGTCAACAGTCCATGTTTGGGCTTGTTTAGTCTAATACTTCTCAGTCTCTGATTGCTTATTATTGGTGCATTTTTGTATCTAGAGCTAGCCACAATTAACTTCTCCATCTGTTTCCATTTGTTTACCTTTTTGTTCAGATGTATTTTGTACTAATTGAATAATTACTTTGTCCCTTGTTTACTTTGCACTTTCAGATCTTCTGCACCCATGAATTTCATATTTTTTGTTTTCTTATCATTTTTACACTGTACAATCATGTTCATGAAAGTTCTCTATTTACTGCAGCTCAGTGGAAATTAGTCCTGCATTGGCTGAGATACAAAAACAAACTGTTGGAGAAGTTCTTAGTCACAAATCAAAGTTTAAAGTAGAATGCCGGGATGCTACCGACATAAGTGGATGGGGTAGGCCACCTTTGGTATTGCATTTGTTTGAGTCTTATTTTTGTAATTGTTAATTGAACTATATATGCATGATATTCCAAGGATGACATTCAATGTGATTGTTTATGCTAGTCTTCCTAGGCTCTGAATTAATCTTATTTTCTAAAGTTTCATTTAGTTTTTCTAGATTCTGAACTTGTAGTATCAACGATCATATTGAATCTTCATGTATTTGCATTTAAAAATTACAATTTTCTCGGTAAAACAGAAAGTTAGAAAATGCCTAAGAACTGAACTCTTGGAGAAGAGATAACCACATTCAGGCAGCTACTTTACTTCTATCATCGCCTCTGATGTAACTTATGTAGAAAGAAGCAAACTTCAATTATATTGTTAGCTGCTATAGGACCTGTTCAAATAAAGCAAGCTTAGAATATGGCAAACCCAATTACTTCTTTCTTTGAAACAGAAATTCAGCATTACTGGCCCTAAATTCTGACACCAGATTGCTTCTTATTCATCCAACAACTTAAGATTGGATTGATACGTGCTAATATGAACAGGGCAGTTCAGCACCCTAAATGATTGTGGCTCATACTCAACACATTTTGAGTGTTATTTTTCTCTGGTTGTAATTGTAGCCATGGTAATATTCCTGTACTTCTTCAGTCATTGATGAAGCAAAAATGAAAAAATGAGATGATGCTTCATATAAGCGATAGAGAACTAGAGATACCCACATAGGAACCTGGTTTCTCTCTTTTCTGCATCACCATTTGCTTCATACTTTAGCCATCCTCTATGGCTGGCATTCAACACTGAAGTGTGCCATTATGTTCATCCTGCATTTTGTTCTCTCTCTTTCTCTCTCCATTCAACTGTAATATATTCTGTATTCTGTTGTTTGTATGATTTATTAGCCATAAAATGAGACTGAATTTATGGCATCTACATTGGATGTTTCTCATCCTTGCTCTCTTAAATGATTCACAAGTGGTATGCATATCTTCTTAGCTGTGGCTAGTCTTATCTTAGCAATTATGAAGTAAGAAATTGAAACTAGTTTTCGTTTTTAACAGGGGATGTGGAGCAACAACCATGTTGGGTGATAATGCTTGAGGTATGCTTTACCTCAACTTATCCTACGTCATCTGTGTAACCAGTTTTTGCTACTTGAGCAATGGCTAGATAATTTAAAAGCGTTCAGTTGCATATGTATTGTATTGCATTGAAGCAAATAGATGAATAAGTCAAGTGTTAAGAGTTCAAATAAATAATGGAGACCAAGACATCTTTAACTTTAATTGTCTCGAGAGGTGATCAATATAAATATATGAATGTAGGTTTTGGCTAGAGTGCCAGAGGTGGGAATTGCTTTATGTAACCTGCAGTTGGTATGATGATGGTCTTTCAGAGATGATGGTAAGACCAGCTGAATAATAAATTGATATTAACAAATCCTTGTTGTGCCATGTGAACAGAACCTAGATCTTAACCCTTTTAGCTATATTCATGAATAAAGAAAAACTTTTTACCTGCAAATTCTAATATTTTCTGGCCAAGCTTCTATTAAGTTCTAGCGGATAATTTTTTGTTCTACATATGAAATCAAATTTACATCAATGCTTTTTTACAGGTGCTTGATAATCTTCCGCATGATCTTATCTGTTCTGAAAATCAAGTTTCCCCATGGATGGAAGTATGGGTTGAGAAACAGCTTGATGGGTATTCGGCACTCTGCAGATAATTTACAGCTTTTGTGTATTATGTGTTACATCATGACTTTTGAGAGAGAGAGAGAGAGAGAGAGAGAGAGAGAGAGAGAGAGAGCAAACTAAACTGATGTGAGATAGAACCCTACCTTTCCCTTCACATATTGGCTCCATGATAAAAGCCTAATACAGTCAAACCTACCATGTGGGTAAGAAATTCTGGGCAACAAACAACAAATAGCAAAAGGCAACAGAAAACTTTAACTCTACTACCTTGTTTAGCATCCAACTCACTACCATGTTAAGCATCCAACTTAGAACAACTGGCAATAGGTGGACATGGCCTACTCTATTATAAAGCCGCACATACTTCTGACTGAATCAACGTGGGATAAAACTGTGTAAGAATGATATTATGTTCGGAAATAAGTCATCAAGTTTCCATTGAAACTTATTGATTAATTTTCTGTCCTGAAAATAGTATGATGAGGAATCCATTGAATTTTGGTGAGGCATCATGCTGAAATAGTCATTCAGTTTTAATTGTTAATCTACAACTTTTACTCATCCACAGAAATGATCATCTTGAAGGTGATGGTGAAATATCTTCCAGTCTCTAGCAAATGACTGTAATAGTTATAACTTGAGTTGTGTGTAGTGTGTTCTTGGCATGCTTGAAATTTTTAACAATTTATTGACTTCAGGCATACTCTACTAGTTTATTCAGGCATCTATATGTATCTGTTTAGATTCAAAGTAGAAAAAGTTTCTTATGTACTTTACTCAAAGAACCACCTTTAGGCCTATTTATATTTAGTTCTATAGTTTAGGGTCATATCTTTTAGTAAAACTAGTCATTCCATTTTCTAATAAACCCCTAATGTATAATTATGTTGGATGGTTAGTTAGAATTTTTACTTGAGCTTTTACATAAAGTAATTGTGCTACCTGGCACATTGCAAAAAATTAACATCTTTTCAGTACATTGTTAAATGTGGGATGAATTGAATGATTCTCTGCTGACCTCATTCTCCTCCTTTTTCAGGGAAGGACTATCTGAACTATATAAACCTTTACAAGACTCTTTAATTAAATGTTGTATTGAAATTCTGGAACTAGATAAAAATAATACCAGGCAAAGCAGTGCTGTTTCAAAAGCATGGTCTACGTTGTTTCCAAAACCTCGAAGATGTTGGCTTCCAACTGGTTGCATGGTAAGAAAATTGTTAAAATAGTTTCTTTTGTTCAAAGTTCAAACTACTCTTTTTTGCAATATTATTCTTTTTGATATATGCAGAAACTGCTAGAGGTTCTACATGCAGCATTACCAAAAATGTCTTTGATTGCTTCAGACTTCAGTTACCTACCTGATGTGAAGGTACCTGGTGAAAGAGCTCCGCTAGTTTCAACCAAGGTAGTTTCTTTATCATTTATTTTGTTGACTGTGCTTTTCTTGTGATCTTTGTTTTTTGTTCTGTAGTACCAAATGCTCATATAGATGGACATTGCAGCCTAGCTATAAGTTAATGTGAATTTGTTGCAAATAGTTTTGCCTCTTCATGTGTCCATTTTGCACATAAATGCTCATCAAAATTTCTTTGTGCTTATAAACATATCCTTCAACTAGGATTCTTGTCTCATCCTAAAACTAATCATCATCTTTTTGTTTATAGTAAATAAAACGGGGGTGTTAATGATCTACATCAAGCTAATCTCTTTCATACAGTCATGAGTTCCATCACTGAGATTTGTGCTTAGGTATTTGAAACAGAGTAATATCCTGGTTGGTAATTAAAGGTTTTGTAGTTCTGTGTATTTTGCTTGATGAAATCTGATATGATGGAAATCCCACCATCCCACAGAGGCATGTCTGATTTACTAATTAATATTGCTGGTAGTCTCCTGCATACTCTAATGTCTGAAAGACACTTCGAAGAGTAGGGTGTATAGGTTTTTAAACAGGCAGAAATGGTGTTCATGGTGCTGGAGTATATTTTGCACTCAGATAGAGATTTTTTTTTTTTGATTCTGTAGTATCCAAAACATACTTTCAGGATTGACTTCCATACACGTGTCTAAAGGTGCCCAAGGACAGGAAACTCTTCATCAATGAAGATGAACTAGATCCTGCATACCCTAATGTCTTAAAGCCACTTTGAAGAGTAACATCTGTGGGTCTTTAAACAGGCAGAAGCAGTGGTTGTGGTGCTAGAGTATATTTTGCTCTCAGATAGAGATATTATTTGAATCCATAGTATCCAAAACGTAATTTTAAGATTGATTTCCTTAAACTTGTGTCTAAAGCTGTTGAAGGACAGGAGACTCTTCATCAATGAAGAGAAACTTGTGTCTAGCTATTGCTGACTAAATTGTTAATTTTCATACAGAATGAACAAAAATTGACATTTGTCTGGTGTGAAGGTCCTCATTTTTATGATTACAACATATTCTGATTTCAACAATGCCCATGTCTCTTCAATACTGCATTGGTAATTGATTTGAAACAAGGAAAATTGCAAAAGGAAGAAGTTGACCTAAATTTGTCAAATTTGAATTTTCCTCTTAACGTTGCTTATTCTGCTGCTGATTGTAGCTAAGCTGTGACATTTTGTAAAATTACAAGTTGGTCAAGGAGTATGTAAAGCACCAACGCTTACTGTGGGTGACTGTCCAACAGAAAACAGTATATCCAATTGGCAAATAGCCATAATCCATCTAATGCTTATTTTTTTGGTCTACACATGCCTCAGATCCATTGTACAATTAGTCCTATATATATTGAATAGAGAGAGAATGATAGGAAGCCTAGTTTTTTATGGTCTTCGACGTCTACCTTCTTATTAGTTTTCAGGTAACAACAGACAAAAGCATGACAATGAAGATAGTTATTTGGCAATATTTACGCAATTTAGTCTAACCTTGTTCAGCATTTGTTCTGCAGAAAGATGGCCACAGCTCAGATTACAGCAATTATCTGGATGCAAAGGTGCTTTATTTTTTTTTTCTTTTTTTCTTTCTTTCACGAACATCATGTTTAAATGAGATTATGTAAATGACATCATACATGCTGTTTGTAAATAGTTGTTGCTTTCTCTAACTGATAAAGCTCTTCAACTATGAAAAATAGTACTAGGCAGGACTAAATTCGTTGAATACCTGGTGATGCAACTATTAGTGCTGTGATAGATCCTGTTAATGAACTGGGTTGACAATTTGAAGGCTTGTAGAACAGAGGGTTGCATCACTGTATTAATGGACCACTGAAATTATTTAACTAAAGCTCTGATTGATAGATGTTTTTTCTTCTTTACATTCTTTACAAAAATGAATAGAAAGGAAAAGCAAAAAATAAAAATGAACGGAAAATCAAAGACGAATAGCAAATAGCAAAAAAATCTACCAAACAGAACCCAAATATATCTCCTAGTGATGCTCAATCCTGATTTTTTGTGGAAAAATTCTTGGTAAAGAGCTCTTCAACTTTAACGAAGGTCAGCAACCTTTCCCATTTTCCAAGTGACATTCTAGAAACTGAGATATGAAGGCTAGCTTACATCTTTCCTGGTCTATGGATTTCAAGCAACTTGATGGAAATAAAAGGATAACGCAAGCTGATAGTATCTTGCAGTATAGTTTTCTTCTCTTTAATTATCAGGTTTCAAACTTACCCAGTTCACAAGATTTTTTTTTTCTTGATGCTTTCTTCCATAGGGTGATGCTGATATCTTCTTTCCTACTGACTTTTGGCTTTTGGAATGCATTGATCATTACTGTTCTGGATGGCTGAAACTGCAAAAAGATAAATCATCCACACAGGGGAGGAAGAGGCGAACTATCACAGTAAGTTGATTTCTGTTTCTAATAAAAAGAGTAATTTAGGAGAAAACTCTATTAAGTAGTGAATGACTGGCTGGGTTATTGTTAAATTTCAAAAGCCCAGACGGGTAAACTTCCAGAACAGTATCAGGCATCTGGTGATCAACCAAACCGAACCAATTATAAACGTAGCAGGTATAATCGGTTAGACTTGGTAGTCCTATAACTTTCGGTGTATCTGGCACTATAGGGGGGCAAAAACTGCATACTCACAATTTTCCAAATTGCACCAGAAAATTTATTGATAGCAATGTGTTAGTCTTACTGCGTAGAACATGTAGTGTAATTATTCTGCAGATAATAATTATTAGCACAGGTAGAGCAATGTTTTAAGTCTACCATTCCTATTCTAGAAGAGGATTTTAGTCCTTGCATTTAAAATTTCCAGGGAAATCTCTTAACATATTGACAGCATTTTAAGATCTACTACTTGTAAAAGTTGTTACTTTTAAACAAATTCAATGTAATGCCTTTCATTTCCTCTTTGCCATCTTTGCAGCTTGATACATCTTCATTCATGGAAGAGTTTGGCTTGCCCTCCAAGACAAGAACGAAAGATGGATACAACCCTCTTCTGGATGACTTCAAGAACACTAAATTTTATCTCAGTGTTCCCACACATAATATTAAGTAAATGGTCTACAAGAGAAACGCTAAAATACCGGCCATTTCGCTTTCTGGAAGTAACAGACCTCAAGGCATGCAAAGTAGCGAGTTTGGTGGAATCTGAGTAGCAAGTATTGAGCACCATGCAAAATGTAAGGAGTTTTAAGGGCTTGAAGAAACTAGCAGAAATTTCAAGTTTCAAAATTTACCCGCATCTAAATCACTGAAGCCTCCTTTTCTTTTTTCTAATTTATTTAGGCTATAGAAATGAAGAAACAATAATAAATTCACCTTCAGAAAAAAATAGTTATAAATTGCCTTTTATGTAGACTTACAATTTTGAATTAATGAAGAGCTACAGCTATCATTCTATCATCCCAATTCTTTTTGCTTTCATATTGTGATGTCTAAACACTTTTGGAATGATTAAAACGAACTCAAAAAACAGAAAACTTTGATCAACAGTCAACCTTACATATCTAAACAGGCAGGTTTTGAAGCCACCCATCAGTGTCAATGAATGACATGCTGGTTAAGTGCTTCACAGTTTCAACATTCAGCTTCTTCTCCCAGCTTACCCTCCTTGAAGTGTCAGATCCAGGTCCATGGTTTCCATACTCAGCAAAAGTTAAGCGGTCCCTAGTCAAATTTAAACCATAAACTAATTAAATCAATCCATTATATGTAACTTTTCTGATTGACTATAATGCAAAACACATGAACTTACTCATGACCAACAAAATTCCAAGCCTGCCAACCACTAGGATGAATAATGTCTGAAAATTGGCAGTTATAGAATAATACCCTGGAAAAACCTCTCCATGGCCTGCCCAAGAAAGTTGTGCCACTGCCAAACACATTGCAATTCTTGAAAACAAATCCATTTGCATCAACTGGGTTGGTTCTTCCTTGTGCTGTGATAAAACCTGCAAGCCCTGGCTCTAACTCTTCTCCAAGAAAATGTATGGCACAACCCTACAAAAAGTAACAACAAAACATTAAGAATAATTTCATCTCCCTATATGTATCATCATTGTGTTGATCACTTATGAATATTAGTTACCTCATAGATCGATTGGCCATTACCAAAGATAAAATCAACAGCACCTTCAATGGTGCAATGCTTGAAGTAATGGCGGCCTTGATCATCCCACAAACTATCTTGCACGCTTGAGAATCCACATTTATAGAAGAAAGACTTGTCGCCACCAATCATGGCAGCAACCGCCGGTGCCCTTGGATTTTTACTATTTGGACTATTGTATGAATTCTATTCATAGACATACAATGAAAAACATTACAAAAGATTAATTTTAGACAGTATATTGATATAAAAACTTTCAAAATTGATTTCTCACCACAAAACTCATGCCTTTGACAACAATGTTATCAGCTAAGGATGAGAAAGTAGGGGATTGTACAAGTGATTGGTGATCATCCCAAACAACAAAAGTTTTGCCCTTTCCAGCTCCTTTAAGAATTATAAATGGCTTATCATATGGGATCTTCACCTTCTCCCTATATATATAGAACATACATGCAAAAATATGCATATAGCAAAAGGTTGAATCAATCCTTGAAAATGCACTCTTCATAAATAAACAGTTACCTGTATATACCAGCTGTCATATAGATACAAAACCATTTTGCATTATTGGATGGAATGTAGTTAATTGCTGATTGAATGGTGGAAAAGTTGCCATGCCCTGACTGATCAACTAACAATGTTTTGCATCCTCCTCCTGCTGCTGATACTTGTTGAAAACTCAGTAAGAGTGCAATGAAAAGACAATAGAAGCAGTGAATTAGGAATGGCATCATCAGGATTAATGTAACCAAACCTGAAAAACTGAAGAAGTTTAATGGAGGAGAGGAAATGGAAAGAATGGGGAAATGTTGGCATTGTACATTGTAATTTGTAACTAGAAAGTTTTTTAAGGAAAAAAACTGTCAAATGGGTTTTGGAGGGAAACTTGAAAGTCAATGGTCTGTTTATGGAAAAAATATATATGTCTATTGTAATAATTAACATCAATCAGAAATCTGTATATGATTTTGTTTCCTTTTCCTTTCTCTCTTAAATATTCTTTTTTTTTTTTGGTTATTTTGGGCACAATTAAAATAGAAATAATGCTCAATGTAAGTTTTGTTTTAATTAATTTATGCAATAATTTTAAGAGATAGGTATTCAATAAATTTAAAATTTTAATTTTTAGAATCTCTTCCCTTATTTCAAATTACGATTTATTTATAAAAAAATAATGTAGAGAAAAATATATAATTAAGGAAAATTTATAAATCATGGAACTTGATTAGGGCAATTAAATAAGAGATTTTGATTTATGTTTAACCAATCATGGATAAACTTGTGTAAGTATATATGGAAAACATTGAAAATAACTCATGTCATTGTCATTCATTATTCATATAATATTTCAGAGTGTAAGTTTGAACTTCCTTGACCAAAAAGCTTCTTGGTTGGTCGCATTCAAAGACAACAGATCTTGGTTTAGCCTTTAATTTGCAGTTATAGAAAAAAATTAGTTGCTCCATGACTAAGGCATCAACAAAATTGTGGTCAAGAGACGTTGCATTTGTCACCTTTGCTTATTAGAACCATAGAAAAATGAGAAAAGAAGTGAATATGATATATGATTTTAATTATTATTATTATTCAGCTTTCAAAAATTAGATTGATTTAGGAAATGGGGAAATGGGTTGTTTCACCTACTATCATTCATTCATTTTCTATCCTAGATTTTTCAACCCAACCTTATCTATCTACCCATTTCTCTCCCACCATTTTTTTATCCTAGTGGCCCCAGGGTTAGTTCACCACAATCCACATCTTAATTATACTGAAAATGCATATAATTAACACTTTTTCTTTACAATGGAAGACAACCTTGTATATATTATCTCACCTCCTACTATATATATATATATATATATATATATATATAAAGATTATAAATAATACACAAATATTCAAATTATTTAAGATTTAATTTAGATAAAATTTAAATTTGATTGAATTTAAACTTGAATAACTCGATTTATTTAATAAGTTGAATTCAAATATTCTAATATTCAATTCGAATAACTTATGAGTTTAATTAAGTTTTTATAATTTAATATAATTTAATTATATTAATTAAAAATTATTATTTTATCTTTATATGTACCAATTCAAGCTCAAATTCAAATACAAAAAATCAAACTTAAAATTGAGTATAAAAATCAAACTTTTTTTGATTCAAAAGCTTAATCGAATAAATTTGAATAACTCGATTTTTATTTTTAATTAAATTTGAACTTAAAGATTAAAATTTGATTAGGTTTAAGTTGAATTTTGAATATCGAATTTCAAATAGAACTCAAGCTTTTCATTATATCAATTCGGTTTAACCTGACACAATGACACATTAAGCACAATAAAATTCAAAGGAAATTATGTTTCTGCTTCATTTGATCACTCACTTGAGAACAAAACTACATAGCACATAATAAAAATCCTTGCGTATAAGATACACTACACTCGCGAAAACCACAACATAAAAGGCATTATCATCGAAGAACAGAAGGCTGATCTCCAGTTCAACATAACAGAAAATCAAACACAGTCGCAATCTGATGCCAATGAGGAAAAGCAATAACACAATGACACAATGACAAACCAGAAAAGTGTGTTTGCAGAATAATAAAAGGAAATGTTTCAGAGGCAAATATTGCGAGAGAAAAAAACCAAGTACCAAACAAGCGTATATAGCATAACATCTAATAGAAAAAGACTTGGACAATAAAATTATGAGCCACTCAAAACGACAATATCAAAATGCATTACACTTAAACCAGAATGTTTTCAATGGTCTATTACTCAATATTTGATAGGAGCAATAACTTCCAGCTGGGCACCAAGCTTCTCCTCAGCAACCTTCTCAGCTTTAACCCTAAGCTTAGTGAGTTGCTTCCTTCTTTCATATGCCACTTGTGCTCTCTCCTTCCTCTTCCTCTCAAGCTCCTGAGGGCAAGAACAAGGTTGCAGAAAGTATAAAAAAAAATGTTATAAACTCCACGCTTTTGATAGTTGTATATATAGTACAAAAAGATGAAAAAGTGATCAAAATCCCACAAAACATAAGATTTTCATCCAGCAAATAACGTTCAATGAAAGAATGACAGATATATGGTGGGTAAACCTTACAAGTATAAGGAAAAAATCTTAGGAAAATTTGAACAATGCCATTCTGTCACATAGACAAGTCAGAACCAGACATTAATACCTAAGCTTGAGCAACTTAGGATGAGAGTATAAAACATAAAAATGATGTTTCTCTGGCTTTCATTTAATTTTTTTACTATAAAAACCTTTTTGGAGTTTTACTAAGCACTAAAAATAATTTATTCTACATTGACACTGTAGTAAAGGATACGACTTAAGTTAACCAACAGATTAAAGTGTTCGGCAGATAGCTTTTAGCTTGCAATAACTACATAAACCACATCATAAGACATAACAGTCAAAGTACTGATAAATTTTAACAAAAACAAGCCAACACTGACGTTAAGGCGTTAAGGCCTTTACACGAGTAGAAAGTACAGAGGAACAAAGATCAGAACCATAAACACAAACAATTCCTAAGTAAAGAGTTAAGCAAAAAGCATTGAAACATGAACTATATTTAAATATTTGAGCAGCATAAGCAATCTTCACCTTAATAGTGTCATAGTGGTTCCATCCAACCTCAGATGAGAGCTTGCCTAACAAGCAATACTTGTGTCCTTTCTGAAGCCTCAAAACCCTAATTCAAAACCAAAAGAAGATAAAAATATTGAGCATAAGTATTAGTTGAAGCAAGTAAATAAAATTCTAAATTTTGCAAAAGAAATCGACTTCCGCAAAACTCACTTGAGAGCATCAGGAATAACCATCCTCTTTATCTTATCATAGGGAGCCGGAATCCCCTCATAAGCCTTCAAACGAGCAAGAGCTGCTGCTCCGCGCTTAGTCTTGTGAGGAATCATCCTGCAACCAAAACAAATATCAATAACCATAAGGAAAATCTAAATACAACATAATTTAAAATGAAGCAGAGTTTATACATCTTACATACTAAAGCCAAATACACTTCCTTTGCACCATAAAGTTCATAGACCTTCTAAGCTGCTATTGTTCTCTAAATTCAGCAATAATAACCTCAAGCACACTCATAATATTCTTTCATTTCTTTCCTATATTTTCCCAATAACCAACAATGAGGAAACAGAAAAAATTCATCCAAAAAGATTACAGTAAACTCTACCCAATTACCAATTCTATTATATATAAAAAAAACACAGATTTGCTTTCATTCTTAACAGAAGTTCAAATAAATAAAACGAAAGATTCACAATAAACTCTTCCCAAATTACCAAGCATCAAAAACCCGAAATGAAAACCCCAAAAATTCTGATCCTTTCCTTCACAGCACCAAAAAATAACTTAACAACCCAATTAAACAAAAAAAGAGAACATACCCACGAATGGTACGCCAGAGGATCTTAGCAGGAGCACGAAAGTGGATGGGACCATGAGAAGGCTTAGTGTTCATACGCTTCCTCAAAAACCTCATGTACTTCATTTTCTGCCTTACCAATCCACCCGACATGCATATCTCCTCACATCTCACCACCACTACTTTTTGCCCATTCAACAACTCCTTAGCCAATATGGAAGCCAGCCTTCCCAGCATGTGATGCCTCGCATCCACCACCACCCTTTTGGCGCAGATCCCTGACCCTGAAACCATCTCTTCTTTTTCTCTACTTTCTCGTAGCTTAGGCGAGCTGCTGCTGCTGCTGCTGCTAAAATGAAGAGGAATGCTAGGGTTTTGTGGGATTAGGCTTTATCATTGGTTTCTTTTTGGGCTTTTGTGGGTTTTTAGTTTTGGTGATTATGGGCTCTTTGGATCCGGACAGATAACATATATAGACCCTGGCCTTTTCTAAATGAATTGGGATAAATTTGTAGTCCGAGCTCTATCCCAACAATTTTTATCCTTGTTTTGTTTTGGGAAAATCTGATTGCATTTGAGAACTGATAGTGATAAGGCAACAATTGTATTTTAATTTTAATAACAATTCAGATTTGACTTAACTGTTATTTTTTTAACAATGATTGTATTTTAATTCTAAAGCAATTTTTTTAAACTATAATTATGATTTGAATTTGAAATCTCCAATTTTGAAATTGACTTCAGTAGCACTGAACTAATAAATTTGACGTAATTATTATTATTCTTTTCAAAGAGATCAAGAGATTGGAAGTTCAAACCCCTCCCTCAATTTACCTCTCATATGACAAAAAATAAATAATATATTTTGACTTTGGTAATCATATATTATTATGAAAATATTTTTTTAAAAAAACATATAACCAAATTTATTGTTTCCAATTTGTTAGGCTTTCCAACACCAAAAGATACCGAAGTTGGTAAAATTCGAATATTTAATTTGTAAGGTTAATAATATTTTTTGATGAATGATTTGTATATCTAATATAAATTTTTTTTTTGAAACTTGCAATTTATATTGACTCTAAAATGGATAAAATTTTTTCTCATTCTAAACTATTTTTACTAAAAAAAAAAAAACAATGTATATGAACAATTAAGATCGAACAATTACAACACCTAGGATTGATTGTTATCTTAATTAAATATAATTATATTTTGAGTTATATCCGAAGGTGTATATATAAGTAACGAGATTATAAATATACCAGCAAATACATTGATAGCGACATACTTACCATGGTTTTTACAACATAACAAAATCTACATGTATGGAAGTGGTAAAAATGTCACTATCAATGCTGTAAAGCTATGTTGTAGAAAGAAGTTTGTCACTTAAAGATGTGTTTGTCTGTCGAGTCAAGCTGACCTTCCATTGCCTGGTTTCTCATTTCTCAAGCTACTAATCATTCGAATAAGAGAGAGATTGAAATTTATTGAACAGAAATCCCACGTGCTGAACCCTTGTAGCTATAATTAGGACAAATTCAAAGCATGATCTCATCGTTCTGGTGGTCTGTTGATAAATGATTAAATTTCAATCCTACTATCTTTAGGCAAAAAAAAAAAAAGTCTAAATATGATGAGAACTGAAAGCATGGCCAAACTAAAAAAGAAAGAAAAAAAAAAGGGTCGAATGGAAGGTGAATTGAACCTTTCTAAAACAAACATAAGATCCAAAATCGAGAGAGAGAGGGGGGGGTGGGGGACCCAAAATGGGATGGCAATATCTGATCAATGTAGCCTAATACTACAAAATCTTGAATTCTGGCAAGTCAACCCATTACCATCCAACAAAGGTACGGGGCTTCTCGTTGACCTTGCCACCTCTTGATCATATCTATACAATGCAATCGCCAATCATTTCAATTTCAAACAGGTATGTTTGCAGAATCTGTCTCCATTTTTTCTCTCTTCTTTCCACATCCATAACGCATTTTCCTCGGCTTCAAAAATTAGTATGAAAGAACAGTTCGTGAGATATATATATATATATATATATATATATATATAATCACATGAGTTGGGTTCATCAAAATCAAAAGGATAACCAATAATGTTTCAAATGATTAATCAATAATATCCCAACTTTTTTTTCAAGTCTAAAATTACATATACATAATTTGTTAAATTTCATGTCTAATAATGAAAAATTACTTCTGTGGTAAAGAACAAGAATGTGAAATGAAATTATAATAATTAATTAAAGAAAAAATTTTATCATGTTATGGATTAAAATCTTGAATCAAGTTGAAGGGGAAGAGTACATTTTTTAAATCTTCCGATGAAAGAATTTAGTTCAGATAATAACGTTTTAAAACCATATTAATTACCAAAAAATAATGAAAGAAAGAAGTAAAAATATGCAATCTTCAAATAATAAAAACACTTATTAGAGAAGTTAATTTTACTATTACAAGGCAAAATATGAAAATATAAGTACGCAGAAAGTTTGCTCAGAAAGAGTGCAATCTGGGTTCACTGACAACTATTGTAAGTTTCTATGACAAATCAACTAAATTGAAAAAGGTTAATGAAAAGAGCCAAATAAGGGTATCTTTGACTGGACAGTGGACAGAACAGCTCCCTCATTTTTCCTCAACCTATAGCCAGATTTGCACATTACATGCTGCAGTTTGAATGAATGAAGCTGAATATTTGTTGAACCGAGCTCGCAATATCTTCTGCGCTGAACCTAGATTCACTCGCAACCTGCATAGGCATAGGAGTAAAAGCATTAATTTGTAGTGATAAAAAGAAAGATCATCGAAAAAATTAGGAGAAGAAAAATGTTATAGACCTTGACATTAAATGAATATAGAACTGTTTGTTCAATGGTGGTGATGTTGGTATGAAGGATATTGAGCTGCAAATCTTCTAGAGCTGCTATGGTCTTAACCAGTTGGCCTGGTCTTCTCCTACAAAGGATCTTAATCATTGCATCAAATCCTAAAAGCTTGACTTCTACATCTGCCAAGCAAGATTTATTTTCAGCTGTTTCTTCACGGAGTCCGGTGTCGTAGTCCACTAGCTTGATTTGATCATTCGGGAGAGACGTAGGAGGAAAGAACGGTTGTTGTTGTTGCTGTTGTTGAATCGCCATAGAGGAGGTGTCTCCCATCTGCCGTGAAGCTTCTCCATACAATCTTCTCCTCTTCTGAGATTCCAGGCATTGAAGAAGTTGCTCTAATTCTCTCACAAACTCTATGGCTCCACCAATGATTGAGGCTTGATCTCCCTGCAAAAAACCCAACACCATACCATTTAACCTTGCTTGTAGCAAAACAAAGAAGAAGAAGATTGAGGATTGATCAGTTTTGAGAATACCCTTTGAACGTATGAGCCTGGCATGAGGGATCTCAAGACGCGAAGATGTTCATTCATTTGCTTCCTTCGATTTCTTTCAACAGCTATATGAGTCATCCGCTGGCTCTCAACTTCTTCACTTGTTTTGATTGTTCTTGGTCTCTTCCTCTTGTTCTTAGCTTCAGGTATTGGGTTTTTGTTTTGAGCATCTTCTCCAAGAAAACAAAGTTGCACTGAAGCATTATCTGAAACCCTAGCTTCTTCATCTTCTCCAATATTATTCCCCTTTTCTTCTACCATTAATCCTGCAGCAGCTCTACCCTCCACATTTTCAATCCCAGATGGAGGAAGCATTAACGATTGATCCTCTAACTTGTCATTTAAAACAGGAAACCTGAGGAAGTAACCAGCAGGGTCAATTCCAGTTTCTTCTTCAGGGATCCTTGTTTGGTTTAATGCTAATTTGGGGCCAAAATCTGCAAACTGCATAACATCAGCGAAACTCAGTTTATCAAAAGAAGTTGGAGTAGCGCAAAAACCGGAAGAAGATATCTGCTGCTGTTGTTGATGAGGATTATTGAGCATATAATCAATCATTCCATTGTTATCACCAGAAGTTTCCCCAATCCGTGGCTGCTTCATTAGCTGATCTTGATGATGAGGGTCATGATTGTGATGGTCTAAAGAATAATCTAGTCCCGTAAAATTTGCCTGGAAGAAATCAAGTTTGTAGCAGAATAACATGGTAGTGAATTCAAAGATTTTTTTTTTCTAAAACAAAAAAGATATGGAAATAGTGAAGTGCAAGAAGGAGATACGATTATGATTTGAGTACCGAGTAGTTTTCTTCTTTCTCCATTACTATATATATAGGGCTGACAGCTTTAAGCAATAACCCTAAGTCAGGTCGACCCGTATGTAAAGACAAGCTAGCCCCGAGTAAAAGTTGACGCTGAATCACAGTGACAAAACCTTGTGCAGTTACAGCCGGTAAATACAACGTTAATTTGCAGAAGTATATGAGAAACAAACTACCATTAAAACATGACAACAAAAACTTACATCGTACGAACAACGAGCTAGCTTTTGACCTAATGGTCTGGAGGTGAAGTTTACTATGTCGATGGAAATAATTAAGCTGATGATGGGATCAGAGAGAATAAGACAAGAGTGGGGTATTCGACTTTGAAGGGGCAGAAGCGCATGGGAAAAGAGATTATTTGTATGAAATGAAAGGTTTGTGGGGGTGAGTCTTGTCTTATGTGATGGGCCAGGGAGCACGGTTTGCCCTGTAAGAGCTGGCTTTGACTTGGGAATGGATGGCAAAGAGAAAGAAAGAGAGGGATGAGGAAGGAGCCTGTTGACCTGTGGGATTAATAATGTAGTTTCATCTCTCTTTCACCTCTTGTTATTTATGGGTTTCACAGGCCACCCAACGCTCTTTCCCTTGCTTTTTACCGCCTCTTATCATGACCCTAATTAACTCTCTCCGCCCTTCACATTTCATCTTTCGAACTTTCAACTTTGAAAATTATATAAAACAAATATTATTATGATTTTGTGGTAATAATAATAAGTTCTAAATTAATTAGAACCAACTCCATTATTTTAACCCTAAACCCTAATTAATTAAGACATGTCTCGAACTATTTAATTATTTAATATTATATATAGTGAATATCAAGATGGTGTACATGGTATTGTTTTCTCATATAAAAATGAATTATTTTTATTTATATAATTTATTTATAAAGTTGGATTTCTTTTAATTACTTTATCATAATTTATTAATTTCATGACATTTCCAGATCATGTACCTTAGTTTCTTTAGAAATTAAAAAAGAAGAAATAAATTTGAGGGAGATCAATTCAAACTTTTTTTAAACATAAGAATAAGATTATACCTAGAATCAGATCATTATATGTTTGTGATGTGGCAATTTCAACGAAACCAATTTGTTCAAACAGAGAAACAATAATTATTCCCCTACATAAATATTTAATACCAAAATATCTCTTATTCTCTAATTACAAGTTTTAAGGCACCATCAACGTCACTGCAAATTTATTTAATGATATATAGTTGTAAAATTCTACACTTGTCTATAAGGAATGAGATAAGCATATATATGCTCATTTTCAGTAATTAAAAAATGTTAATCTTTGCTAGGTTGGAAAACTTAATGAGAAATTAATTATTTTTCCCTTATCCATAGACCAGACATACATTATAATCTGAAAGATTGAGAGATGACCATTAAGTCAAAGCTGGAAAATTAAACTTAAAAATAAAAGCAAGGGATTCACATGATACAAATGATACGCCTTTTTTAACTCATAAATGGCCACACACCAGGAGCTTAAGTCTTAGGACAAACCTTTTTTTTTTTTAATATATATATAATTTTATTTCCACTTTTCTTACTTTTTTTTTTTTTTTTGGCTTTTAGTTGAAAGAGGATTCAAACCAATTATGCTTAACATGTCTAGAAACTAGCATTCTGACGGTATACGAAACGAGGAAAACAAAAATAATGGGAATTACGTGAATTTTGACAGATTGCAAAACCTTTTTTTTTATTATTAAAATGACCAATAAATAAACTTATAAACTTTACCACCTTTTATAGGAAATTTTTTATACTTTAATTATATAATCTCTAACATTCAATTTACATCAAAATAAACTATTATTCCAAAAACTCAAAATTAAAAAAAAAAATTTACGTCAGTGTCGAAAAAAAATTTTCAACTAACATTGATAGTAACAAAAGTAAACCTTCCGATTAAAAAAAATTAAAAAAAAATTCATTAACCTTCCGATTAAAAGAAAATTTTATTTGAATATAAATTAAAAGATATAAACTTCTTTGAGGAAAATAAAATCATAAAAATATACCTAAAAGATTATAAAAGTTCACATGGTCATTTGACATTTTTAGCCTTCTCTTTTTAATGGCAATATATATTTAAGCTAACCGAAATGGCAATGCTGGGTGAACTTCCCTTAAAAAGAAAATAATGGTGGAAATGTATATAACCTTTTTCCATAGGATTAAAAACACACAATAAAAGGGAACAATGGGAGCAGCATCTCAACATAACACTTCCAAAACAAATAAGATCTCATGGGAGATTAAAAATGTAACTAATTACTAGGAAATTCCTAAGTTTAGGTAGGGATTCCAGCAAACTTTCTCCTAGCTCTTAGCTTTAGGCTGGAGAGCTGTAATGTGATAAAAAACTGCTCGTGTCTAAAAGTATCCTCGGTCTTGTTCAATTCCAGAATCTAGCAAAATCAGGATGTGTACTCGAAAGGCTGAGGGGGCTGAGGTTCATCATCAACTGCCATAGCTGATGACGAACTCTGTTGTCCTCCTGCTGATCCACCAGCTGCAGACGTCGTGGATGCAGGTGCATCTGTTAGAGAGAGCACCTCCGGTTCATTGGGGCGTAGGTCTCGAAGAAGAACAAACCCAGATGGTGCCAACTTCACAGGCACATATCGGCTGTCTTCTAAAAACTTGATGAACTTCTCCTGAGTCGGAACTACTCTTGCTGGGTTGGTCAAAATCTCAAATGATGGTTCAGGCTCTGCTTTCTTCTCTGGAGGGCTATCAACCTGTCCAAAAAAGAAAAAAAAATCAATGAGAGAAGGATTATTAAATACATCATTTTTGGTAGACCATCACTTCACCTAATCTCAAACAACACAAACATGCATCAGGATACTAGACAACAGTGCAATTGAAGAGATATTTCAGCCTTTATTTTTAGTATTGTGACGAAACCGACAAAACCCAATTGTAAGTTATAGTAAATTCTAATATTCAGAAATTATATTTAAATCACCAAGTAATTGAAGTAATGCCAAGTCCATTAAGTCCCCATCAGACGATCTTTAAATTCTATAATCTAAACAATAAAAGTCAAGATTTAAATATGTTCAAATGGATCGTACAGATATAGCACAAAATTAAGGATAACTTCAGGAATCTTACCTGCATAGCATCACCATCCTTCTCACTAGATGATTTCCCTTTTCCAGTATTTGGAGCAGCAGATGAGGACTCTGCCCCAGATGATTTCTCAGCATTTGCCTTTTGTTCTGCCTCTTTCTTAGCCCTAGCTTTAGCCTTTGCTGAAGTTGACAGAACAGCAGTTGGAAGTTTAACAGCTGATGTAGTGGTGGGCACAGTAGTTGGTTTTGGATACTCAAAAAGTGAAGGTTTTGCATGAGATAAGAACTCAAATCTTGGTACTTTCAGGTCATAGTTCAGCCCCATAAAAGCTGTGGGTGAGAATGATAAGCTCACAAAATAAATGAGGGGATACCAGTACCAAAACTGGCTAAAAACAGCAAGACCAACAACTGCAGTAACCTTGTCATGTTTTGTCTTTGAGAGCAATCTTATGGTTACATTCCTCCCACCAGCATCAAGGATCCCAGAGGCCAAGATTGCTCCCATCTTGCTCATTGTGTCTTCATGCTTATCAAGTATAATTTTTTCTAACTGACGCCTAGAATAAAGTTATAAAAAAGAGTTAGCTTAATTAAGCAATATATACTTAGAATTGTTACACATCCTAAGGAAAGGAAAGAAAAGCACAACAAACAATAATAGCATACCTAAATGTTCCAACACGAGAATCACTGGCTTCATTGATCTGGACCATGACCATAGCCATTGCAATGAGGGCACCTTGACGAACAAAATCAACAACATCTGATGTCAAGGGTTCTAGCAATGATATGGCCTCACTCAATCCTGTTCCAGCACATGAAATACCCACTGCAAGTGCTGCTCCATATCGAACATGTGGGTTATAAGACTCAGATAGCAAGGAGACAATTCGAGGAGTCTGCAGTTTGACCAGACAAAAGAGTGAGATCTTCAGAAATTCACAGCCCCATGACTCACCCAAAGGAAGATTACAGGTAGAAAAACTGGGCGAAAAAGTTGCAACAAACATAGATCACACCCCACACGAAAATGAGGAAAAACAGCACCTACCTGCTCTGGCTCAGAGTAAAGGACAAACCCCAGTGCTAAAACAGCAGTTCTCCTAACATCATCACTCACATCTGATACGGCAAAGTGCAGCAGCTGACGAATAGCTTTGTTGTTTGCAGTTCCCCTATAGGCCAATGCTAATGCATACATACCACCATATCGTAGTATAGGATCTTGATCCCGAGTCATCTGCTCGATTAATGTATCTGCTTCTTCTTCCCTTCCATAAACTGTAAGAGCTATCCCTAATGCTAAACCCCTGAAACCATATAGGAATACAAGGAGTAAAAGACCACTAACAGGATAAAACCCGGTCCAATACCAAGATCCCCCACAAAACAAACTTTACCTGATAATTTTCTCATGTTGTGTCTCATGTGCATAAACGAGCATCTCGCTTGCCTTCTCACTTGCAGTTCCAACCATAAGCAAACCCATACTGATGCCAGCAGCTTCACCAGCTACAGCACTGTCGGAATAAAGTGTACTTTTGATGTCATCATAGATTTCTTCATTAGCAGTTCCTAGAGCTGCCAATCCAAGACCTAAGCATGCACCGTGTTGGATAACCTGCATAAAAAGTATGCAATGTTTTATTCCACATACTTCAGGGTAATTCTATTTTGTCCAACAATTGGACAACTCAACTACTCGCAAATAGTATAGTGGTAAGAAATAACAAATTGACAATAATGTATTCTTGCAAATAAATGGAAAGTAGGCACTTTAGCATTTCTCTTAAAGGCCTATTGCTTGGCAAAAAAAAAAAAAAGAAGCTATCATAGGCCAAGAAAATCATATACCTCAACATTAGTGTTGCGTAGGCTATCACGAAGGAATTGCTTGATGCCCTCACCATGGTTGGCATGAATGAGACCCAAAGCATATAGCGCCCCACCTTCAGAGTATGGACTCCCACCACCACCGGCCCCACCTTGGGGCAGGTATGGAGCCATCAGAGACCTCCCTTGCTGCAGATGTCCTCTGTGAATAACACCAAGCCCAGCTGTTGCACTGAATTTGGCCCAATTGGTGGCTCTACTCAGCCAGTCCTGAGGATCACAACCATAATAGTAAGCATACACAATATGAATATTAATCTATAAGAGCGAAAAAAAGGATACAGCAAGACAAATGTTTTACCAGATTGTCCCTCAGGAACGTATCCACTGTTGTTCCAGCATGCATTATAGCATTTGCATAGATGGTCGCACTATGGCAAACACTATTCCTCATTTCAATTGACTGCTTTATCGTCTTTAAAATTAATAGGTCCGATCTAAGACAAAAACAATCAGTTAATGGCTTTGAGAAAGAAACACAATAAAATTTTAATTCCACCAAAAGATAGCACAAAAGAAATTGATGCCTCACTTGTTATGACTGTACAAGAATTGTAGAGTCAACTGTATTGATGTTTCTCCTGACAAAATTCCTTTGATTTTTGTCAGCCTCTCAGCATACATAACTTCTTTAGGATCTGCCTGAGGCATATTTGTTGTAACAGCAGAAGATCCATCTGTCATCTGAACATCC